CACTCGAACACGTACCAGGCAGGCAGGAATCCAGGCAGAATTCCTTTTTTCTGATATGGTATTAAAATGTTGCTGAAACTGTGATCGTTCGAAGGCAGGTTATACTTTTGAAATATAAATGTTGTTTCAGATCACTTTCATTCATACATAATACAGGGAGGGAGGGACACGTTAAAAGACGTGTGGACTGCTAATACTACATAACTGAATAATGTTAAGGATGTTCTACTACCAAATTCTGCCCTCATATACATTTTACAAAGCAATGCAAAAATAAAGTATGGAAATACATACCCCGACGAGACCAGGGGTGGAATAACATTAATCCACAGTGTGGCCACGAGCTGGTATAATTTCTCCCAACTTCACTAAATGGGGAAAATATAACATAGCTTGATTATTTTTTTGTTTGTTATTTACATTTTTGGTTAGTTGTTAAAGCGAAAAAAAAATGGTGTGAACAGCCTCTGAAGGTGGCTTAGGACAGCCTACACTGTGCTTCCCATGGAGGGCTCATAAAAAACCCGTAGCCAGCCCCCACATACACAGCCCAGCGGCAGACACTGGGTTTCACAACACCACAACGGTGGGAATGCCAGAGTGCTGCTGTTTCAGCAGTGACCTTTTGATAAACACCGCTGGTGAGGAATTAGGCAACGTTGATTGCATTTTGTAAGGATTACAGTTGGGGAGGGTATTTCCTGTATATTTAATTATACTTTTCAAACCAGACCTGTGATTGTGTTCACATCCTGCGTGAATTAATTATCAATGTGGGGGGGGGGGGGTTGTACGGTGGTGTATTGGTTCACCTACCGCACTGTGAAGATGGTCGCAACCTGAGTTCGACGCTTGGCCAAGGCTCAAGTGAGTGGCGAGAGATATCGGAACATGTCTTCGTTCCCTCTTCACCAACCTCCACTGACCAGCTTGATGAAGCAAAATAACCACCCCCCCCCCCCCCACATGACCGGTACACCATGGAGGGGTGGGGGGGGAGACCTTCATACAAAAGTGGGTGGACAAAGGGCTATATAGATTGTTACTTTAAAGAGAGAATCCGTTCGAGGTGATTCAATTTAGTGCGCTTGTGAAATTGGGATGGAGGCAACAACGCACGTTTGTAAGTTTAATAAAAGAAAACATTCGTTTTACGCGAGATGAAAAAAACAACAACTTTGATATATCTTCTTGGTTCTTTCGGTAAAGTCACGTAGAAGGGAGGTAATAAAACAATAAAAATAAAACATAATAAAATTATTCTCACGACGTTTGGGCCACAACGCAAGCAGCCGTCCTCAGGTGAAGACCAGGTCTGTTGGGAAGACATTATTATGTTTTATTATTTTATTACCTCCCTTCTACGTGACTTTACCGAAAGATCCAAGAAGATGAATCCCTGCAGTCACGAAAGCTTTAAATCGAAACTTTGATATAATACGGTTTCTTTAAAAGTTTGTGAGGCAACAACACTTTAATACTGTATTACGGTTACAATTATAATGCACAGGCCTTTATCAGTCGAATGTTGGATGAAGGGTTCCCCCAAAATCTCGGATTATGACGTTGTTCGACCATACTTCACCACGCGGGTGGAAGATCCTCTGTGGAAGCCCAATTATTTTTGTTAATGTTTTTACACAGCTGGATTAAATGTACGTTACGGCTTGTGGATCAATAATATCATATTTATTGCAGACAATAATACATGCTGTTCTTTTCATGAAAATTACAAAACACTCACACTTTAAAAAATGATGACATCTGCTACGGTGCGTTTCTTTTTTATTGTTATTGGTATTATATTTTTTCTAAAATATTGTTCACTGATTGGGATAATTTAAAATGTAACTCAATGTAATGTTTCACGCTCCGCTTGGTTCGTGTCTCCATGATCAGTCTATTAATAGGTGGAAGCTGACTGCGTATATATTAGGTATCATTATACCTCCATGAATATTTTTCCACGTTTTTGCCACCAGCATCGCACAGTGGCTCTGATCTGCCCCTGGGTTTTCAGAATTAATATCTACAGCATTCTTACATGATGGTTTAACACCAGAGCATTTTATTCATGTAGAAGTAATGCAATTTCAGTAATCGTATGGTTTTTCATCCAAATCTCGTAATGTTATGGATTCATGTACAGTATGCCATAATTAAAAAATTTTACTCTTTGTGTCTATCTCTGTATCTATTTGTAACCGTTGCATAAAGCCCCGTTTCATCTTCTTGGTTCTTTTGGTAAAGTCACATAGAATGGTAATAATTAAATAAAAAAAATAAAACATTATAAAGTCATTCTCACGACGTTTCGGCCACAACGCAAGCAGCCGTCCTCAGGTGAAGAACAGGTCTGTCGGGAAACAGGTCTGTCTTCCCGACAGACCTGTTTCCCGACAGACTGTCTTCCCGACAGACCTGTTTCCCGACAGACTCTGTCTTTCCGACAGGCCTGTTCTTCACCTGAGGACGGCTGCTTGCGTTGTGGCCGAAACGTTGTGAGAATGACTTTATTATGTTTCATTTTTATTATTTTATTATTTCCATTCTACGTGACTTTTCCGAAAGAACCAAGAAGATGAATCCCTGCAGTCACGAAAGTTTTAAATCGAAAAGCCCCGTTTGTTTGTTATTAGTGTGAACGTGCCAAATGCTTGAATAACTGGTGAGTCATGCACAGGGAGGCTTATGCAAGTAAATCATTGCCGTCAGATGACAGGGCTGCCATTCGTATGCTCTGCTTTGAGGGAGTTTTTTTTGCCCATTTGGTTGGCCAGTGTGCACATGACTTGCCATACTCACGGGCGAGGCAGTCTTACCTAAAACGCCCTTTAGAGATTTGACATTAGTGATTGGAAGCCAATCACTAATAGGATCAGCATCTAAGAAAAACGGATTTGGGGAATGGATGGGGATGTTTGACAGAGCGTGACGGATGGCGCCTGGGCTGCATTGTCACCCTGACAGGGCACTCATTCGCCACATCGATCACTGCATTTCACTCCAGGGACCGGTGCCAGTGCTGGCAGTGCATTGTGAGCCGCAGAGTGTGGGTTTTCATCGGCGGGCAGCACCTCTGTAACTGCGGTTGACCCCAGTTATATCCATTGTCATTGCAGACTTGGGGGTAGGGGCCTTGGGAGGCGGTGGCGATGTTTCATGCGGCTCTGTACAATTATAGAGGGTAACGTTATGAAATCTGAAAATTGCGCCCGATTTGCTTTCAAATAGAATTGCTGTTGAAATAAAAAAAATGGGAGTGGGTGATAGAGAAGTCAAAGATGGATTGTTACAATATTTTTTTCCCAAATGGCCTTCTGTAAGAAGACACGTTATATTTTTTTGTCACATTGGACACAAATGTCACTTTGCCTCGTCCAAAAAGTGATTGCATTTTAGGTCAAACGTACCATGAAACAATGTATTCATTTGATGTTGAATCCTCGAGTACATTTAATGTGTTGAATAATTATGGAGTGGATGTTATCACGGCTGTCTTTTGAACTTGGCGACATGAGTTCGATTCATGACCACAACTAACGTTTGTGGCGAGTTTTGTCTGGACCAATCGTAGACACCCACTTTCACGAATGTGAACTGGCCAGCATGGTGAGGTATGGTCATATTCTTAGGTTTTTTCGGTAAAGTCACGTAGGTGAAAAATTGAAGTTAATAAAAGTTAAATAAAAAATAAAATAAAAATCACGACGTTCCGGAGGAAACACAAGCTTCCGTCTTCAGGAGGAACCGTCACAGCACGATTGCTGAATCAAGTGTGATAAATTCCAAGAAACAGTCCTTGTATATATACTGGTTAAGGGTGGGAGGAGCCAAGGTAGGCCCTGAATATTATTTTTGTGAGGTTCGATGCGGCTGAAGCACGCTGTTAGGAATGAGCCTTTGTTGTGTAAACTAGGTGCGGATGATGTAAAGGTGCGTGTAAATGGGACTGAGCCTTTTGTTATGTCAAACATCCCCCATGGCTGGAAGGCAGAGGGAATGACTGTGGGTTGAAAATTAATTATTCTATATATGTTTTACTTTGTCTTCTTGGTTCTTTCGGTAAAGTCACGTAGAAGGGAAATAATAAAATAATTAAAATAAAACATAATAAAATAATTCTCACGACGTTTCGGCCACAACGCAAGCAGTCGTCCTCAGGCGAAGACCAGGTCTGTCGGGGAGACAGCGTCTGAATGAAACACCACCACGCTTGGAGCGTCTACTTAAGCTGGGTTGGAAGGGGAAGAGCGCCTTGACAAAAGAATTTGCATATCAAGAGGAATTTAGCATATTTATGGGAAATGCAGATATGCGATTAGTACTATTTGTGAAATGCGTAGGAGGTGGGCGGGGGGTTTTACTTTGGTTCAGAAACAAGATGCATTTGTGATTTTAACGCGACAGTGTTCACCATTACATCGTCTAATGTATGTGTTGTGAATGGAAACGGTATATGTATCACTGCTTTTGACACATGTACACAAATACATACATTGAACGTCCAATTAAGTAAAAGTGGACATGGCAGATTGGAAGATGAAACGTGTTGCATTTTACAAGATAATTTGAGAGTGATCATTTCACATTATGCATGAATGGTCAGACATAGCTGCTGATTAGGCTCGCAAAAATATAGTTTGAAGTCAAACCGGATGCTTTACGGTTTAAGTTGCGTGAAATTATAGGGGTCACGTTCCAGTGTGTAAGATCATTCTCCCTTTGTGGATGCGCATTACACGTTCACGTTGAAGATGTGCGGATTAAATATATATCACGGCAAAAGGGAATCATTCTAGTTATTTGAGAAAGAACATCCTGTGATTCACGAGTGCAGGCTCTCGCAGGGCTGTCTATGATTCCTTACAGACATGGTAAACACACTGCGAGTATCCTCTTTGCCCAGATTTCGGCGGAAATTGACTGTGCTTGCTATAATCTGCTGGCTGTGGAGGTACTCAACTTGCTAAATGGCGCGTCTTATTTTAATTTCACAGGTGCTGCTATCGGGCCTAATCGGTGTGCTGTCCTGGAAACGGCCTATTTCTCTCGTGGTAGGTTACGCCACTTTTACCCCATTTTCACTCCATTTTCATGTTCATTAAACCGGCCTCCCCTGCTTTGAAGGCGTTGCATGCTTTCGGCATGGCCTGTTGTCGCACTGTTTTGGCCGATGGCTTTTGTGCAATCATTCACTTTTCTTTTTAAATTCCACGCTTTTATTGGACCGTGACTTATGGAGCTCGATACAGAAAAGTGCATGCGCGCCCAGAACTGAGATACCATTAAGACGTATTGTTTATTTACTGAGGACCAACATTGGTAACGCAGACACCATGATTACTGCGGTGTTATTTTTCCTCATAACAGCGATTGGATGTCATATTTGGGTCGTGACACCGGCACGCGACGACGTGCTTTTGCCAACGATAACAAATTAATTTACGGCTGCATTGTCAATCCACTGCTGGATGAAGGCCTGCACACGTTGCGTAGGTCATGAGGTTGCTTGACCACGCTGGCTTCATGAAATTTGAGTAGGGGGCGAGGACTGGGTGGAGATCACTCGCTACTGCTGTTAGTCGTGGCCAGGAATTTAAATTCAGGTCGCTGGGTTCTAAATTCAGTGTGATAACCACTGTGCCACCACTCCACCCCCAATGAATTACAATGCAGAAACTTTATTGTTCAATCAAATGAAACAATGCAGCTTTTTGCGATCATACTGGCTCAGTTGCAAGCATGCCCGTGCCCATGAGGCTGTCTGTCTGCTTCGTATACACTGCATGTCATTAGTCATCACGCTATTCTGCCTCCGAAAGAGAGTGCTCTTGGAAATGTCTGCCAATGCATGATGTCGGGGTGCATGGTGAGTGTTTTAACCCTTTCCCATTGCAACTGGAAGAAATTTTTAAAATAAAATAACTTCATCAGTTACCGAGGCTCCCACAAGGCCATGCGGGGAGCACGTGTGGCCCAGTTTGTCACCAGCTATCATAGAGTGCGGTCGTGTCGCTGCAGTTCTCTGCGGTGAGTACAATGTCTTTACAAACAACGGCGCTATGCCACTCTGAACAAAATGAACACTCACATCTTTCTCATTTCGAGATTCAGCGGTGAACGGGACCCACTCTGCAACTTGCAGACGTCTCAGAAGGGGAAGGCATTAAATGGATATTTGGTTGCTCTGCATTGATGTTGCCTGTCTGCGAAACCACACTTTTCGCCCAAACTTGCCAAGGAGGAATGAGGCATATTTTAATTTCTATTTTTGCCGGAAGGTATCATTATCTCTAATTAAGCAAACGTTGATTTATGATCGTTTAAAACTCCAGAAGTAGCCATTATGAAATGAAAAGTCAACCTGAAAATATTTTCGTTTCTTGATTTAAAGATTGTTGTAACCCTCAAAACTATTAATTAAATTAATCTGCTTCGTAACAATATCCTTAGTCTGCCATTCTACCATGTAAAACTGGTAAGCTACTTGAGCAAGTGGGTCACTTGAGACAATGTCAAGTTGAAACTGTGCGTGGTTTTCTCCATACAAAAGTGTGCCCTCTTTAATACAAGTACCCACAATTTGGTCACAATTTGAACGAATCGCCATACGTGAGACAGCTTAAAGATCAATCCCCTCTTATTTATCATAACTAAGAGTCATCAAGTGCTTGCACCGAAATATAACGCTTAACATTTTAATCATAGTTTTTTTAATGCTCTTTAAAAAATGTATAATCATCATTATGAACTCCCATTCACTGCACTGAGTGAGTCATTGTGTTAATCAATCAGTTTTTTTTGTTATTGAGCTACAACAGGAATACATTCAGCTACTATCTACTCTCTGATCAATTGATTTGTTTTAGCAGCTGTGAAAGATTATGGTCCCTCTGCTGAGTCAGCTGACAATGCCCACGTGGCCTCTGTCGCCTTATCCCGCACTCCGTGCCGAGTGCGGTCAATGTGTTGTGTCCGTGACCGTTAGAAATGCTTCAAATAATACCCAGCCTGAGCCCAAACGGAGACGTGCATGTTTCACTTTACCACCGGCAGGACCTGGAACCACAGAAATAACGGTGCCAAGTCAGTAGCATAACATGGTTTCCATCAGCCCCTGAAGTTCAATCAGCCTGCCCTTTCTTCAGCTGTTGTTCGTTTTAACGTTTTGCTGAATAATGATCTCAGCCTGGTCGCCAGTGATGGCACAAAAAGCCATAATGTTAAATTTGGTTTTGATACAGCAAATCTGGCTGTGACGGTCCCACCTGATGACGGAGACTTGTGTTGCCTCCGAAACGTCGTGATTTATTATTATTATTATTAACTTTAATTTCATTTTTTACCTACGTGACTTTACCGAAAGAACTAAGAGTATGAATCCTTGGAGTCACGAAAGCTTCAAATCTTGGTTTTGACAGTCATGCGACAGACCTTCTCTTGGCAGACCTTATGGGAAAAGTCCTCTTCCAAAAAGAAGATGGGGAAAAGTGCGTCTCTCACTCTGTAAAGGATTTTAAAAAGGGCAACTTGCAGGATTATTTTGGAGAAGTCATTTGAAAAATCGCTTTTTCACAGCCGTTCTTTAACACATTGTGGCGTTTTGAGATTACCCAATGGATTCCGCTTCTGATGGCGTGATGCTGACGGCACAATTGGAATTAATTGAATACAGAATAAAACTACGTAGAAGGGAAATAATAAAATAATAAAAATAAAACATAATAAAATAATTCTCACGACGTTTCGGCCACAACGCAAGCAGCCGTCCATTCAGACGCTGTCAGACGCTGTCTTCCCGACAGACCTGTTCTTCACCTGAGGACGGCTGCTTGCGTTGTGGCCGAAACGTCGTGAGAATTATTTTATTATGTTTTATTTTTATTATTTTATTATTTCCCTTCTACGTGACTTTACCGAAAGAACAAAAAAGATGAATCCCTGCAGTCACGAAAGCTTTAATCGAAAATAAAACTAGTTTAAATGCATCAGAGTAAGTAAAATATAAGATGTATTAGCATTGTGTACTCATTGCAGTGTGACCTTATAGTCTGTATTAATAGATACAAATATGTTGTATTAGGAAAATAGGAAACTGCATCACAACTTGCTTTATTTTATGTGAAACATCGCGAAGCAGCACGGTTTCATTTTAATTTAGAAACTGCACTTGGACTCATCATCAATTGTGGCTAAAGCATGGTATTCCACTTTCATGCTTCTAAGAACGTTAAAAAAAACCCGTGATTTTGCGTGAGAGAGTAGCTTTCCAATTGCTTGTACCGAATTCGAACAGCTATTTTGAGACCTTCTGAACAGAGTGATGAAGACGCTTCTAATGCCAGTTAAGCTGAAACATGGTAGAGATAACCGATCTGTCAACGCCTGTAAGAAAGAACATAGAGAAGATAGCATGCTGGTCCCCAATGCCACGTAACTCAACCGTCAGTGCTTCTACATCGACGCTATTGTGTGTGCTTTTCATTTGATTTCACTGCACACATCGGTGCCGATGTGTTTAAACAGTAATTTGAAACTGCAGCTAAATCCAGCAGCTGCCTCTTCTACTGTATGCGCTGTGCTATCGGTAGCAATCTCCCGCTGTGTCCAGGAATGTTGGCACGAGCAAAAAAAAAGCAACACACACACCCAACCTTGCCCCGCTGTGCTGGCTGAAATGGCCATCTTCTGTATGCGTGTATATTGAACTTTTTTCGCCAACCGTGATAATCAGAGGTGTGGGGAAGGACAACAAACCTAACACCCAAAGCAGTTCTAAAGAAATTAGTTTATAATCCAGATTGCAAAGGGAGGAGGAACGTTCCAGACGGCCGCAGAAAGCGCGCTATGCAGTGGCCGTCTTTGTTCGATGGCTCGCCAAAAGCCACTTCGAGGATGACCTGTAGCCTGGAGGCGCTATTATAATGGCACGGATCAATGCAGCTTTACTGAACATTGGACCGTTAATTGCCTTGCAACTGCGCAACGCTTTATCCCCCCCTTACCCCCTCGTAATGTTATCGTCCATCGCTTCGTCTATGCCCAAGGCAGACCAAACGCACAAGAATTTAACTGAGCCCTGCCGGGAGCCAGGTTTATGTTCTTTTTTTTTTAACTTGCATGACTCTGTCTGTCTGTTGTGTCAATTTGCCTTTATAACCATATACACAATTTTATTTAATCACAAAACCCCCATATCTCCACGAACCTTTCACAATTTACGACAGTTATATAAATAGAGCTGGCGAACACTTTAGAATATTCTGAAACGTAAATCGTACACGGAGTCCTTATATTTTTAGAGTACAGTATATCTTTCCGTAAGTGTGTGTACGAATCAACAATTCAAGACGTGTTATTCGACAACTCTAACGTGGCAAACGTTGCTGTCCTGCGCTTAACTTTTCTTTCGTTTCAATAAACCGAAACAAATCATCTGGAGAAGTGGGAATGCTTCTGAATGGCGTCTATACATTTTCCAAATATCAAATATATTTTTCGTCACATAAATGGTTACATTTCACAACGGCAACTCTGCACAACGGTTGGAATGTCTACCCTTATGTTTAATCGTACTTATGAATTAGAGGCCACTCTTGAACACGTCTTTTAAAATCAATTCCCATCGGCTGTTCTTCCGTTATTTTCAAGGTTATTTCAAGGTGAATCTCGTTTCCTCAAACGGATCTTAACAAAATCTAGCCATCTGTACCATTGTCTGCTCCGCAGCATGTCTTTTTTTCTTGTTTCCGGACTAAAGTCACCTTGTGCATCTGTCTTTATGGATTTGAGCAGCTGCGTTACACTGCTGTATTTTTGCAATCAAGGGTATCTGCTTGATGCTTTTTATTGTCATGCAAGTCACCGTTATCATCGTCGTCATCAGCAACATCTTGTTGTTGATTTTGTGCCGTAAAACATGCAGCGGAAGAACAAGGTTACGTGTGAAAACAGTGCACATGTCAGTGAGAGTTAAGATTTAAACCTAAGTGCGAGTGTTGCGTGAGTGACTTTGGCTGGGCCAGCTGCCTCAACCGTGTGCCCCACCAGATGT